TTCCTTCCATATTTAGGGTTGGGACTATCTTCCTCTCACTTATGGAAATGTTTTCACAGAGAGCAACAGAGTTAGAAAGGGTACTCTCTGAGGTGACCGGTCCTCTCTCATTCCACTCTGCCTCTTATATTCTGGCTTCTGCCTAAATGTAGTATGTTCACATGCTGCTCTTTTCCATTAAAAACCTTCTCTTCTGTCAAATCCATACTCATTTTAATGTAACATATGATTTATTAGTTACAATGCAATGACTAAAGATAGGAAGGTTAAATATTTTCAAGTCCTACTTAGTATTTATACTAACTTAGTCCAACTTAGTATTTGAGCTATGTTGCTTCTTACTCTTTGTAAGAAGAGTATTCTTTGTTTCTAACTTGTTTCTATCATCTATTGTCTATTTTTCCAGCTTTCCCAAGAGCTAGGGCTTTAGCAATGTTGCAAACTGCAAGATATTGTTATATTACATTTTTTCCTGCTTGTTTTCTGGGCTGTTTTCCTTTAGCAATGTTGCAAACTGCAAGATATTGTTATATTGCATTTTTTCCTGCACATAGCAGCTTGTTTTCTGGGCTGTTTTTTAAAAATTGATGGTCTGTACTGCAACCTTGGGAGTATCTTGAAACTTTACCCATTTTCTAATATAATACAATTTTCCCTTGCAAATAGGGTTTATTGTTCTGTTGGGGCTAATCTGAGTTGCTCCTCCCTTTTAATTGAACTTATTGGGGTGACATTTGTTACTAAAATTATATAGGTGTCAGGTGTACAATTCTATAATACGTCATCTGTATATTGCATTGTTCGTTCACCACTCCAAGTCAAGTCTCCTTCCATCACTGCCTAACCCCCTATACCCTCTTCTACTTCTCTGCCACCCACATTTCCCTCTGGAAATCACCAGACTGTTGTTTGCCGATGAGTTTTCTTTTTATTTTCTTTCTTTCTTTTTTGTTTTTTATTAATCCCATCACCTTTTACACCCAGCCCTCCAAACCCCTCCCCTCTGACAGCTGTCAGTCTGTTCTCTGTATTTATGAATCTGTTTCTGTTTTGTTTGTTAGCTTATTTTGTTCATTGTATTCCACAGATAAGTGAAATCATATGGTACTTGTCTTTCTTTGACTGGCTTATTTCACTCAGCATGCTTAGCATAATGCTCTCCAGGTCTATCCAGGCTGTCACAAAAGGTAAGATTTCCTTCTTTTTGGCGGCCAAGTAATACCCCATTGTTTAAATGTACCACAGCTTTCTTATCCACTCACCTACTGACAGGCGTGTGGGCTCCTTCCAGATCTTGGCTATTGTAAGTAACACTGCAATGAACATAGGGGTGCATATATTCTTTCAAATTAGTGTTTTTGGTTTCTTTAGATATATTACCATGAGGCAGTTCCACTTTAAATTTTTTGATGTAACTCCATACTGCTTTCCACAATGGCTGCACCAGTCTGCATTCCCACCAACAGTGCACTACAGTTCCCTTTTCTCCATATCCACACCAACACTTGTTATTTGTTGATTTATTGATGACAGCCATTCTGACAGGTGTGAGGTGATAGCTCATTGTGATTTTAATTTGCATCTCTCTGATGATTAGTGATGTTGAGCATCTTTTTACATATCTATTGGCCATCTTTATGTCCTCTTTGGAAAAGTATATATTCAGGTCACTTGTCCATTTTTTAATTGGATTGTTTGTGTTTTTTGGTGTTGAGTTTTATAAGTTCTTTATAAAGTTTGGATATTAATGCCCTATGAGATATATCATTGGTGAATATGTTCTCCTACTCACCGGGTTATCTTTTCATTTTGTTATGGTTTCCTTTGCTGTGCAAAAGCTTTTTAGCAAAGGAAACTATCCATACTCGTTTTTTAGTATTAATATTAGGCATAACCTTTCTCTAGAATACTTCCTATTAGTTTGGTTCCTTTTCTATGTGTCCCCTTAGATCCTGTGCTTACCTGTGATATCCCACCTGAGACACATGCTAATTTTTGTGTGTGTGTCATTCTCAGGCAGTGATCTATATGAGAGTAGCAACAATGTCTCCTTTATCTCTGAATCACCAAATATAGCATCTGATACACAGTCAACATAGAACAAAAATAAAATTATTTTACTGACAGTAAGTTGTATTCTTTAGAAGCTGGAGCGAGATGAAGCTCTGAATGGAGTCCCTAGGGAAAAAGACTATAAAGTTACTTATCTTAGACAAAAGGCACAAACATTTTCCTACTCAGGTGGGACCCACAGGTGAGAAATTGTAAGTAAAGAACGTAATGCTTGCTGGGACAAAGACTGCTGGGGTGTACTAAAGAAACAAGGCTGACAAAGAACCAAGGCCTAGGCTAAATTCTAATGCTTTGCATGGCTGAAGGGATCAGTATTTGCCTAATAACTGAGGCATTTTTAAAACTAAGTTCCAGATATCATTTATTTGGTTCTTATTAAGGCAGGATAGTTAGATGTTAGGAGAATTTTTGACAAGTGGGAAAAAGGAAACTGAGACAGATGGTTAGACAAATGTGGCCAAATAATTTGAGCAATTTACAGCCAGCTAGTAAATAACAGTATCTCATCTTCCCTAAGCAAGGACATTTGAGAGCAAATGGTTTACACCTTCCTCCCTAACTAGAGAGTAAATAGCCTAAATCACCCTGGTCAGGGAGATGGATAACAGAAACCCAATTAGTGCCAGCCAAATCCACAAAGGGATGAAGTCAGGGGAATAAAAACAAACAAACAAAAAAACAATCAGAGTCAAACAAATCCAAGGTAGTGGTAAAACTGACCATAAAATGACCCTGGTCCCCTTTTCTGCTCATTTTGATACATCAACATATTAAAGAACACACCTGGGAAGCTGATAAATATTCTGTTGAGACCCTCCCATGAGACCTCCCATAAGATTCCTGCCACGGAACAGAGGTAAAAACCCTCAAAACAATGGATGCCAGTGCAAGCTCTCCCTGGAGCATGCCCACACCCTTCTTCCCTCTTTCTTTCTCAGGTGTACATCTTCTCTCTTTCTCCTAAGCCAGTGGTTCTCAACCTTGGCTGCACATTAGAATCACTTGGGAATCTTTTTAAAATCCTGATTTCTGGGCCTCATCTTCCAGAAATTCTGTTTCTTTGTTATGGGGTGGGGCCACAACATTAGTAACAAAGAAACAGAATTTCCGGAAGAGAAGGCCCAGAAATCAGGATTTTAAAAAGATTCCCAAGTGATTCTAATGTGCAGCCAAGGTTGAGAACCACTGTCCTAAGCTCTAGGGTTCTGATGAGACTTGCAACTAGGGCAGAAGCGGGCAGCAGCAGCTGGTCCCAGGCTAACCCCCTGAACCTGTCTCCAAGGTCCCCTTTTCTCTGACTTTTCAGAGTGCTAACAGCAGCCCCACCGTGGCTCACTTCTATCACTGATTTTTACTTCTCAGTGAGTACAAACAGCCCAGTGTGGCTCACTTCTTTTCCAAAACGTTTCTAGAGGCCCAGAACAGAACACTGCCTAGGCTCTCTCCTGTTGTTGCTTCTTCTATCCTAAGCCCTTCCTTTGTTTCACTGTCCTCAGCTTTAATAAATGTGCGCTCGAAATCACTTGCACTTCTGTTGTGAAATCTTTCCTGCGTGAAGTCAAGAACTCACACACTGCTGGTCCGCCTGAGACAGACCCACTCCGGGTCCCATCCTTTTCCAGTGACATTATAACTTGTGGACTTCGGAACTAGAAGGACTCAAATCCAATAGTAAGGACTTCATTTCTGAATTTGTTAATAATTACCAGGGATTCATAATTGTCTCTGGCAAGTTTATCTAATAGAGCCATGTTTGTGAAAGGGCTTTGGATTAGTATCATGGACTGAAAAGCCTGAGAAACTCATCTTAATATTTCCCAGAATACTTAGCTTGAAGTTGACACTAAATAAATAGATGTGGATACCTGACTGAATCATTGTAGTTTATCCTTCTCATTCCTTTTAAATATGGCATAACTTGCTTTACATAGGTAAGCACTCTGTGAGAAGCTGAATTTAGTTAGAGCCTTGGGTTTTGGGGGTAATTCTCCATGAAAAGGGTAATTTCATATAACAGATTATATAATTTCATATAACCCCTAGGTTTCTATTACTTATTCTATAGCTGAGCAGTTGAAGGACAAATGCGTTGGATGCACTGATAGTCTTACAAGGAAAGTGGCAAGTCAAGCAGAGAGTCTGGTGCCCTAACTTGCAGTCCAGGGCTTTCTCTAATGAAACTCTTTAAGCCTTTTGTACTATTACTTCACTTGTTCCTTACAACTTTGTCAAGGCTACTTGGCTAGTAAGTAGAAATGCTGGAATTCAAAGCTAGGCAATTTGGTTCACTTTCAGATGCTGGTTAAATGGGAATCATATTCTTCACAAAATCATTTATCTGATATTTTTACTCAACTCAAATGCTCAATGACATTATTATAATAATGAAGGATCACCATTTAAAATTTGACAATAGGAGATGTGAAGCTGGAGGCTCTTGGCATTTTCATATCTAAGTGTGAACTATCCTTTATGGGAAACCTTTGTCAGCTCTATAATAAATTAGATAAGGACCTCAGATTCTTCATATTTTTCTTTGTTTCTTAATTCTCACTGGAGGATATTTTTCCTTTGATTTTTAGAGAGAACGGAAGTGACAGAAGGGATGGGAGAGAGAGAAAGAAAGAAACATCTCACATCGATTGGTTGCCTCCCTCCTCTCTCATGCAGCCCTTGTTGGATCAAACCTGCAACCCAGATCCATGCCCTTGACCAGGAATCGAACATGCAACCCTCCAGTGCATTGGCCACTGCTCTAACCACTGAGAAACATTGGCCAGGGCTCTTCAAAATCTTAACAGAAGATATGATTGGAGAAAGTGGGGATATGTACGCCATATCATGATAAAACACGTTTCAGGATTGTGCTGGAAAAGGCTTGTCCTCACCAGGATTATGTTCGTGTGTTTGCACAGGTGGGAAAGATCATGGCTCCTGGTGGGAACCAGAGCAGCGGTGTGACAGAGTTCATTCTGGCAGGTGTCCCAAATCTCAACACCAAGGAAGGATTATTTTCTGTCTTCCTTCTTGTCTATCTGCTGACTCTAACAGGCAATGTGTTGATTGTTGGGGTGGTAGGGGCTGATACTCGCTTGCAGACTCCCATGTACTTCTTTCTGGGTAACCTGTCCTGCCTAGAGATCCTGCTCACGTCTGTCATCATTCCCAAGATGCTGAGCAACTTTCTCTCAAGGCAACACACTATTTCCTTTGCTGCATGTATTGCCCAATTCTATTTCTACTTCTTTCTTGGGGCCTCTGAGTTCCTGCTGCTGGCCGTCATGTCTGTGGATCGCTACCTGGCCATCTGTCACCCTCTGCACTACCCCTTGCTCATGAATGGTACTGTGTGCTTTCGGGTGGCCTTGGCCTGCTGGATGGGGGGACTCCTCCCTGTGCTTGGCCCCACGGTCGCTGTGGCCTTGCTTCCTTTCTGTGAACAAGACGCTGTGGTGCAGCACTTCTTCTGTGACAGTGGCCCGCTGCTCCGTCTGGCATGCACCAATACCAAAACGCTGGAGGAAACGGACTTTATCCTGGCCTCCCTTGTTATTGTTTCCTCGCTGATGATTACTGCTGCGTCCTACGGCCACATAGTCCTAGCTGTCCTGCGCATCCCCTCTGCCTCAGGCCGTCAGAAGGCCTTCTCGACCTGTACCTCTCACTTGATGGTGGTGACACTCTTCTATGGAAGTGCCATTTTTCTCTATGTGCGGCCATCACAGAGTGGCTCTGTGGATACTAATTGGGCAGTGACAGTGGTAACTACGTTTGTGACACCTTTGCTGAATCCATTTATCTATGCCTTGCGCAATGAGCGAGTCAAGGAAGCTTTGAAGGATATGTTTAGGAAGGTGGTAGAAGGCCTCTGGGGGGATCTTTTACTTGCTAAGAGTTTCAACAAGAAAATAATGTGACAAGTAAAGGGACATAAGATCTAGTCTTAAGTCCAAGTACTCTTCTTTTACTTGCTAAGAGTTTCAACAAGAAAATAATGAGGTGAAAAGTAAAGGGACATAAGATCTAGTCTTAAGTCCGAGTACTCTCTATTGTCATTCTCGTCCCTATTATAATCATGGACATCACCAAATGACTGAGTTCTGGAACTATTATGGAAGTCTCTCTCAGGAAAAATTCCTTGATTTTATCTCACACATAAATTTATATAATTATTGATAAAGCATAATCAATACCATCATTACATCATAAGACCCTCCAATCTGTGAGATGCTGGAATTCAAAGCTAGACAATCTGGTTCAAGATCTTAACCTAAGGGTCCATGATCACCAGGGAATCATTTAAGGAGGGGCTTCAGAAAATTTATAAGCCTCATTGGTATGTAAATTTTATGTGTCTGAGCTTATATGTATTTGTCCAGGAAGAGGATCTGTAGCTTTAATCCCAGTCTTGGATCTATATGTGACCTTTGCCAAAATGGAATTAAAAGTGGATTTAAAATTCTCAGTAGAATCTTGCAATTGTTTATGAATATCAATAATTAAAAGAACTCCTATAATAAAGAGTAAATAAAATAAAATAAATATATTATCTGGATATTTTTGTCTATACTTCCAAAACAATTGCATTTACTGTCAGATGAAAAAGAGGTAAAACAAACATAATAAGTGACTTATTCACTTCTCCACAGAAATCCAAGGTGACTCTGGAAAAGCAGTTAAAAGAGAAATTTCATGAATAATAGCATTTGAAGTCTTTTTCTAATTTGCACTTTATTACAAAGATAAATTTAAGACAGCACTCATTTTTATCACTGGATTATGTTCCTTTCATTTTTCCACCTTTTTAATTCTTATATCTGTTGTCATCAGTCCTCTTTAGATTGTAGTAAAATTGGGTTTGGGCTGAGGACCTTGAATATCAAAGAGTTAAGAATGCCAACTATGGCAACCAGCAACCAAGAACCAGATTTTGTGATATATTTTATCTACCTCATTGGATATTTAAAAGGGAATGGGGACTCCTATTATTGGTGCCTTTGGAAATCTTAGGCAAATATTTATTCATTTCTTCAACAAAGGTCTGTAAGCATATACTAATATATGCTAAGATGAACAGGAAGTGGTTCTTAACCTCGATCAGGAATGGGGATTATAAAGTGGTTTACAAAATGACATTGGAGATCAAATGAAAATTGATTTACCCTTCCTAGTATTCTCTTGTTAAAGAAGTTTTCAGAAGCAACCTTTCATTAAACAGGAATTAATTCCATGTTAGAGTGTGTTTGTATACATAGACAATGTTTTTAAAAATATCAAGGTGTGGACAGCTCATCAACTTTTAAAAAGTGCTGCAAAATTGGCAACCTGAGCATTAGCATGCCAAGAGATGGCTATAAAACTTCAGTGGGCAGTGGAAATAGTAATAATACTTTCATCTAATTCTATTAGTAATACACAAAAACACACGTTAGATATGTCTATCCCAAAAGAACCCTGAGAGAGAACTAAAGGAAGAGAAGGAAGGATCGGGGATTTGAGGGGGAAAAGGAAATCTTCCGGAGTGATCTGGAAGTGTTGCCCAGAAAGCAGATGACATATTGCTTTAAAAACTACCTAATTTCATGGAGCATAAAAACTGAAGTCAAACCCAGACACAAGCCAAAGAAAGGAATTTTGTAGTAGTTTATAACATTCTTTGAAGGAATCACCCCCATATTTTGGCAATAAAGCTTGTTAAAGCACCTATTGTTTCAAAGTTACTTTATTGTTGCTACTTCATACCTGTAATTTTGCTACTGTTATGAATCATATTGTAAATATCTGATAAGCGGGATGTATTTAGGCGACCCCTGTGAAAGGGTTGTTCAACCCCCAAAGGGGTCACGACCCACAGGTTGAGAACCGCTGGTCTAGACAATCTATGCTGGAAAATTATTAGTTTCCTCAGACTATGAAAAAATATTTAACCTGAAAATAACCAAATGAAAGAAATCTAATATGAGGAAACACACAAATTCAGAATGTGAGACTTCTTATAAGCCATGAGAAAAAAAGGGCTGAGAGGAGGGAAATTTTTCTAGATTAAAAGACACTAAAGGCCCTAGCTGGTTTGGCTCAGTGGATAGAGCATCGACCTGAGGACTGAAGGGTCCTGGGTTTGATTCTGGTCAAGGGCACATGCCCAGCATGATGGGCTTGATCCCCAGTAGGGGTGTACAGGAGGCAGCCGATCAATGAGTCTCTCTCATCATTAATGTTTCTATCTCTCTCTCCCTCTCCCTTCCTCTCTGAAATCAATTATATATATATTAGAGGCCCAGTGCATGAAAATTCATGCACTGGTGGGGGAGGTCCCTCAGCCCGGCCTGCACCAGGAGACCTCAGGGGATGTCCTACTGATGGCTTAGGCTCGCTCCCCATGGAGTGGGCCTAAGTCGCAGTCTGGCCTCCCTCTGCGGGAGATGACCGGCTGATCAGGGGAAGGCACCACCCCTATCACCCCCTCACTGCTGCTTGCTTCTGGCCTCCCTCTGCGGGAGGTGACCAGGCCGATCAGGGGAAGGCTCCCTCCCCATCATCCCGCTGCTACTGCCACTACTTTGGCTGCCTGCCTTCAGCCCTCACAGCCACTGTGGCTTTGTCCAGACGCGGCAGCAGTCTGCGGTGTTTACCTATGCCGCCATCTTGGTCTCCCCACCTTTTTAATTCTTATATCTGTTTTCATCAGTCCTCTTTAGTTTGTAGTAAAACTGGGTTTGGGTTTAGGACCTTGAATACCAAAGAGTTAAGAATGCCAACTATGGCAACCAGCAACCAAGAACCAGATTTTGTGATATATTTTATCTACCTCATTGGATATTTAAAAGGGAATGGGGACTCCTATTATTGGTGCCTTTGGAAATCTTAGGCAAATATTTATTCATTTCTTCAACAAAGGTCTGTAAGCATATACTAATATATGCTAAGATGAACAGGAAGTGGTTCTTAACCTCGATCAGGAATGGGGATTATAAAGTGGTTTACAAAATGACATTGGAGATCAAATGAAAATTGATTTACCCTTCCTAGTATTCTCTTGTTAAAGAAGTTTTCAGAAGCAACCTTTCATTAAACAGGAATTAATTCCATGTTAGAGTGTGTTTGTATACATAGACAATGTTTTTAAAAATATCAAGGTGTGGACAGCTCATCAACTTTTAAAAAGTGCTGCAAAATTGGCAACCTGAGCATTAGCATGCCAAGAGATGGCTATAAAACTTCAGTGGGCAGTGGAAATAGTAATAATACTTTCATCTAATTCTATTAGTAATACACAAAAACACACGTTAGATATGTCTATCCCAAAAGAACTCTGAGAGAGAACTAAAGGAAGAGAAGGAAGGATCAGTGATTTGAGGGGGAAGAGGAAATCTTCTGGAACGATCTGGAAGTGTTGCCCAGAAAGCAGATGACATATTGCTTGAAAAACTACCTAATTTCATGGAGCATAAAAACTGAAGTCAAACCCAGACACTAGCCAAAGAGAGGAATTTTGTAGTAGTTTATAACATTCTTTGAAGGAATCACCCCCATATTTTGGCAATAAAGCTTATTAAAGCACCTATTGTTTCAAAGTTACTTTATTGTTGCTACTTCATACCTGTAATTTTGCTACTGTTATGAATCATATTGTAAATATCTGATAAGCGGGATGTATTTAGGCGACCCCTGTGAAAGGGTTGTTCAACCCCCAAAGGGGTCACGACCCACAGGTTGAGAACCGCTGGTCTAGACAATCTATGCTGGAAAATTATTAGTTTCCTCAGACTATGAAAAAATATTTAACCTGAAAATAACCAAATGAAAGAAATCTAATATGAGGAAACACACAAATTCAGAATGTGAGACTTCTTATAAGCCATGAGAAAAAAAGGGCTGAGAGGAGGGAAATTTTTCTAGATTAAAAGACACTAAAGGCCCTAGCTGGTTTGGCTCAGTGGATAGAGCATCGACCTGAGGACTGAAGGGTCCTGGGTTTGATTCTGGTCAAGGGCACATGCCCAGCATGATGGGCTTGATCCCCAGTAGGGGTGTACAGGAGGCAGCCGATCAATGAGTCTCTCTCATCATTAATGTTTCTATCTCTCTCTCCCTCTCCCTTCCTCTCTGAAATCAATTATATATATATTAGAGGCCCAGTGCATGAAAATTCATGCACTGGTGGGGGAGGTCCCTCAGCCCGGCCTGCACCCTCTCAGAGTCCAGGAGACCTCAGGGGATGTCCTACTGATGGCTTAGGCTCGCTCCCCATGGAGTGGGCCTAAGTCGCAGTCTGGCCTCCCTCTGCGGAAGATAACCGGCTGATCAGGGGAAGGCGCCCTCCCCATCATCCCGCTGCTACTGCCATGCCGGCCGCCACAGAGGCAAGGCCTGAGCCCCGGGCCTAGCAGCCGCCACCATGGCTGCCTGCCCTCAGCCCTCACAGCCACTACCTTGGCTGCCTGCCTTCGGCGAGTGGGCCTAAGTCGCAGTCTGGCCTCCCTCTGCGGAAGATAACCGGCTGATCAGGGGAAGGCGCCCTCCCCATCATCCCGCTGCTACTGCCATGCCGGCCGCCACAGAGGCAAGGCCTGAGCCCCGGGCCTAGCAGCCGCCACCATGGCTGCCTGCCCTCAGCCCTCACAGCCACTACCTTGGCTGCCTGCCTTCGGCCCTCACAGCCACTGTGGCTTTGTCCAGATGACATCAGCTCTAATTAGCATATTACCTTTTATTAGTATAGATATGAGGTTGAAGAGACATTAAAAATAAATGCAATAAGAAACATTGTTTGAATCCAGATTTTCAGCAAAATATGAGGGAGCCAATTGAAGAAATTTGAAAATATGTTGGTATTAGATTATATGGAATTTATTGTAAATGTTAGTGTGATATAGTACTGAAGTTACTCTTTTTTTCTTAGTTCTTATTTTAGGAG